GTTCAAAACATTACTGGACTGACGTGTCGATTCGATGCTGGTGATACACAACGCAAAACAGACTATATGTAGGAGCGAGTCTCACTAAATCGCTGTTAACAAGGCTATATATCAAAAACTACCTTGGATGGGTGCCAGGGTAAGCACACCCATGTGATACTATAATCCTCGTTCCACTTATGGTGCGATTTATACAGTTCTTGAACGCAGATTTTCGCTTCATTAAATGAGGATGTTGAACCGTTTGATCATAATTTACCGCAGTGTGGCAAATATACAAAAGCACGTATCCAGTCTTTTTGAATTTCACAAGTTCATGAATATGATCGATAAATTTGCGGATAGATGCTAAACCAGAGAAGCCATCCTATCCTCATAGCGCCAATCAGCTCGACCCTAAAGGTAGATATGATCTACACACATTAGTAAGCTACACTTAGTTTTACTGAAGTCTCATCTTTTGAGTTTTAAGCAATAAATGCAAAAAGACGTTTTCATCCTACATTTCACCAGCTGTGCCTTTCAAAAAGCAGCCATTAGACGCCCCAGTACTAAAGACTTCCTGGACAGCTTCCGCACACCCCATGACAAATTAATTGAAAAACCCTGCATAACGCCTAACTCATTTACTTTGTGTCGTAAATGCAACATAGAAAATTCGACACAGTTGTCACTGTGAGGATTTTCACTTTGCCATTTTGTTTCCATGACTGACAGAGATGCCGTCTTTAGAGCTGGATAGTGGGTTCCGTCGGCGACCTCCACAAAGTTTAAATCAGTCGCACTAGAAATTAGTTTTGTTGTGACCAGATCATTTCATTAAATAAGGCTTGATGAGAGAAAAATCCACGGATCCTGCCTCAGATTTGATCAAACGATTTCTGGACTTATCAAGTGCTTTTAAACTATTTGATTTTGACATTATCATGTCCAAATGTGACGCGCACTTATAAACATCAGTGCGTATTTTACGTGAAATTAGTAGGGATCAGTGTGTCCAACATAACAGCATTCAATCGACATCCAAAAACTTTGCTCGATTGCCCACTGACTTTTTGGGATTCAAGTAAGAAATGGAGTGGTTAACACCAGCTCATCGATGTTTCATAAGCTCTATACAGAGTTTTACAGGAATGAAATTCATTCCGTAATTTCTTTAATCAGACCCAACCGTAGATTTAAAAACGGTCGAATTCGGGGGATGAATTCCATGAAATTAGTCATTTATTTCGTTTTGGGCATAAAAATTCTCTTTTTGGGTAGTATATCAGTAAATGGATTGTTGATGAATAAAACACTGCTGACTATGTACCTTCTCGCTTATTGAACTAAAAAACTTTATTCCATAAATCTAGCTATCGGTTAAGGTCAAATCACTAAGATAAGGCAACGATTTCTACTAGTGATGAATATAATTGCAGACAAAGATATTTTCTGGGTTTCTGGAGGCTATCGGTAGTGTTCAGTCTTTGTATTTTGTCACGGAACCCAAATACTTGAACGCAAGCGTTCGCCAAACGCGAAAGTAGCAGTTCACATATCGCTTCATTGAGCCCCGATTTGTATGATCTTACATGACGTGCTGCCTAATCACCATGTTGGACCGCAAACAACCGTTGCTGAACTTCAAGTCAAGCAGAACAGCTCAAACGATTCCAGTAACACTGCGCACCAGACAGTTTCTAATCTATGAACTAGACAAAAACAATGTTATTCGCATTGCTTAAACATCACTACTTGGGCCATTTCAAACTCCCATGTAGCCACCTTGCTACTGCTTTCCGCAAAAACAACAGTTGCAGAATTGAGGATTTTGGTGAACCCTTCCATTAGCGTTAATTTTCAAAAAGCTAGAGTTTATTCAAATGCCTCTGAGTGTATCTTCGGTTTTCTAGTGACGTGTGCTACGTGAGAGATTGTAAGGGAATTTGCTCATTTACAACAAAAAATCAGAAAATTCTTTCACGTCTTTAAACAAACTTCCCCCAAAACTACGAACTGATTTATTCTGTAAAGTGGGGAAAGTTTCACGAATTATTCCAAATAAGGACAGATCCTAAAGTGTGAGCCGATCTTTGCGCTGACTATGTTTTACGCTGACTAAAATGCACTGGTGTAGCCAAATTATATTGACTTAACTTGGGAGTGTCTGGTGCTTTGTTGCTTGTTCCCTTTGATTTGGCAAATTAAAGTTTACTTCGGATAAG